TGCTGTTGTAGGAGATGCCTCTCTTGCACAACATTTTGGACTGACCCCTAATCTGAGGAAAGTAGGAAATGCTCTTAAGTTTTCCGTTTTGGAAGAGAAGTTGTCATTTTGTTTGCCAGTAGTCTGCACAATAAAAAAAAGGTGCCTGGGTCAACAGGTGGCTGCTTCCTGGGCAGGTGCTCTGGGACACTAGAGAAGACTCCATGGGTGCTTTTAATGTGAGCGCAGGGGGACGGGATCGCACTGGTGGGGCTGTTAATACTGAACAAGGAGCACGATGGTTACCAGACAAATCCCATACAGCTTCTGCGTGTCAGGTTGTTCTGAGCAGAGCTCCAAGACTTTATAGTTCAGCTGACCATGAATGTTGCCTCAAGGACCAGGTTTCTTTTGACAACTGTTGGAAGCTTTAGTTGTGATAAGACTTGCTTCCCTTTAAGCTGCTGGTTATTAGCTTCACATCCTGTTCATGAATTCGCTTTGACCATCCCTAATTTCCATAAATGAGGCACAAAAAAAAATCCATAGCTAGCAGTGTTTGACCTCCTGTGCATGCACTTCCACTGTGCACAGGAAAGAAAAAAACCCTTATTTCAGCTTTAATTTTTTTTCTTTCCAAAAATGACTTAAGTAATCCCTTTCTCCTCAGTTTAGTCTCTCAGAATAGTGTAGTCATAGAAAATGCCATACCTCATAGAAGTCTCTGTCTTTCAGGCCATTAGCATGGGTAAGTTTTGTAACCCTATGCAAAGCAGACAGGGGCCTCACTGTCTAAAACATTTTCTAGTTCTTTCATATCTTAGGCATATGAGATGTAAGGAATTAGTCCTGAAATATCTCTGCCAGTGTTTAGACAAGCGAACTATTTTTTTTTTTTTTGTTCTTAATCAAATCAATTTTGAAAAAAATACAAAACCAGGCATTTTATGCTGTCCGTTTTAAGTTATAAACATATCTTAACCTGATCTAACCTTCTGATTTTAGAAATTAGAATTACGAAACCTAATCGTATCCTAACCAACCTTAAATAATGACATTCGTGTGATGTCTTAGTTTTACAAAATTAAGCTTCCTTTTTATTTCTATGGCAAGGCTATCTTTGGAAACAAGTTTTGATATCTATTTCGCATGGATTTTTTTTAGCTAAGTTCATATTGCCTTTTTTTTTTTCTCTAAAAAGATGAGAAACAGTTTAAATTTTATTGTCCTTTTCTATCTGTATTGCACATAACTGACTTAGGTCCTTTTGCAAGTGTCTTCAAGTGGAAAACTTACGACTTAATTTTTGTCTTTTTTCATCCTTCTTCCTGAAGAGCCTTGACTGTATTTTTGAGAACTGTGGCTTTCAGGAACTGCAAAGAATATCAAAGTTACATATTACAAGCTTTCTCTCACTTTCAAAATTCTGCTATCTTAGAAGATTGCAGCCTCAGTGACTAGAAGATAAAAGCTATAAATGAGCTTCCTTAATAGTATACCAGAGACTTGATTCCTTGGAGGCTGCAAAATGCTGCCTCTCAACAGCTATTCTATAAACACAGCCAATTATTTTTCAATATCTTGTTTCGTTTTGGGAAATGTGGGAAAGATGGGAGGTGGCTGTTAGCCTAATTCTGCACATATTGAGGCTAGTTTAGGATGAGAAGAATTAAGCCAATATTAAGCACTTTTGTGTTAATAAAAAATAGGGGGCATAGAAAGGTGATGTCAAGTTCTTCAGAAAAAAATGAGATACTGGAACTTGGAAAAGGAGGGAAATTAATGGAGAATTGGTTCACGTCCCAGGTATACTAGTGTTGCCACATATTGCAGTGCAGGCCAGCAAAATATTTACCCTTGTATTTCATTCTCCCAAGTGCAGTGAATGTTGAAGTTGTGTTGTTGAGTTTAACCTTGGTGGGGTTTATTTTATGGTGCTTGCAGTACATAAAATAAGTGCTAGGTTAGGTTATTGAGCAAATGTTATCTGAATGTCTTTATATTTCTAGAAATTAACTGCCTGAAAAAGGTGTCTAAATCTGGGGGTTCTGTGGTTGGAATAGATTTATTTTTCAGATTTTAATAATGATGCGTATTGTCTTGTGTTTAGAGAGTCCATCTTACTACAGTCTTTTTGCAGTTAGAAGATGGCAGGAGGGCAGAGTGCTTCTCAAAGTAACCCTTTTCTTAACTCTTTTTTTTCTGTTTGTCCAAGATGTACATCCCCTACGTTTAGTAGGATAACCCATGCCCTCTTAGGGCTGCAGGAGCTGTTATATGAAGTGTGTAGCATGTATTTAGATGTTTTTATTTAGGATAATTTGTGGTTTTGAATGCAAGCAGTGAAATGCTATAATTTAGATTCATATTTTTTATAAAGACTTGTCAGGAATTTGGGACAAAAGATTCTAGCCCCTCCTATTTATAAAATTACAACTGAAAAACAAGCCAACTGCAAATGTGCTAAACACATGGGTCCATGTGTATATGCCACAGACCAAACTGTTTCAAGTGGCAGTTTCCATGGGAGGCCTCCCCTCTGTCCTCATGCCCGTCCTGCTTAGGGACACAGGTCAGTCTGGCTGCACAGTTCCTTTTTTGCTCCTTGATAGGAAGCCCAAATACCTGCACTATTCAAATTGTGTTGCTCTGCATTTAGTTTTGGTGACTAGTAATAAAACCTGCAAGCCTCGGGAAACCCTTGTGAGCTTTTGAGCTCAACAGTGCCATTCTAAGCCCTCCTACATTGAGGATGTTCTAGAGCTGTTGCTGCTCTTGCTGTTACTCTTTAGCTGGACTCAGAAAAGCAGCCTCTTGCACTTAATTTTTTTGGCACTTTCCATAATGTTAAAACTTTAAGGTGGAAGAAAAACCTGTAGCTGAAGTTTGGTCTTCCCTCCAAACCATAATGAAATATCTTTTGTTTAAGAGCTGTTCAAATACAGATGAAACTTCGAACATTGCATCTCTGCCCGTGTGTGCTGTAGCCTTCCCTAGAAAGAGGAGACATGTACAACATGGAGAATCTGTCCTGGACTTATTAAAGTAATGGGGTGAAAACCATTAACAGTAGGTATTGCAGACCACTCCAGTCCTGATCCAGCCTACTGTGCATTTCCCTTGTCCTTATCTGGTGAAGCACCTAATGACACAGGAGAAGTGCTCCTGAAGCTGATGACCTTTAATTACCACTGAGCTCATCTCAGCGAGGAGTTTGCCATCCCTTCTGTATCTTTACTGTTGGGTTGTTGTTCCTATCAAATCTGACTCCGAATGCAAATATTTTGTTAATGAGCAAAGAGTTCTTTATCCTCTTTGATCTTCCTTTGGTGGCAAGGGTATTTACTGAGGACTTAGCAGTAGTAGCAACTTCCTTGGAGAGGAAGGGTTTAGTTCTAGTTATCCTGTTAATGGGCTGATCTGTGGCAACCTTGTAAGATTAGCAGCTTAGTTCACAGGACCTCAGAGCTCTTTGCTCTTGATTTCAAAGCAGACCCTTTAAGAAAGGCTTGAGTTCATAGTATCCAAATTAATCGTCGGAAGTATTGAGTTGAGTTGCTGAAAGAAAAAATTCAAAATGAGATTTGAGATCAAGTTGACTAACTCCATATATACTGGTAGTACAGTTTGTCAGTCTCCTGTGTTTGGTGCTAGTGCTATTAGTGCAGATCAGCTAGATCCAAGAGGGGCTACATGGATGTGTTGGTCTCAGCCCCTCAGGATGTTCATTCCTGGGCTGCTCAGAAGACCCAGTAGTACCACAAAGAACTGCTATTTACGTGGCCTTCAAGTGAGCGTTTTGTACCTTGCCACTCATTCAGAACTGGTTAGATAATGATATAAGCAGACAGTTCCCTGGTGATAAAGGGCAGCTGGCCAAACTGGTCTTATGCAGATTCTTGCAAATATTGGCACCTTTCATTTGACTCTAAGGAAAAAGATACTGCATCGCTGTCTCTAGGTAAACTTGGTACTGACTCACTGACATCTGTCAAACCCGCTTAGATAAAACAAGTGAATACATTGATTTATTAAGTTAAATGAAACAGGTTTTCTATTTGGACTGTTTCAGTAATTGTGAGATATTTGCTGGCTTTGAAAGTGTCCGAAACTTTTATTCATGGCATCAGGATCTACATAATACTCAGGATTCTTCTTCAATCTGGAATTTGCTTGTGTTTTCTTAACCTAGCTAGCTGTATTTGAGCTCTGTGCTTTTTTAGTGTATTTCTGAAGGGTCTTATTCTTCCTATACTCCAAAATCTCTAGTTTTTACCCTCAGGTTAAATACTTCAGTGTTCTCTTTCCTTCACTGCCCCTCTTTTTAGTTTGCACAGTGTGTTCCTGTTACCATTTACCTAAGACCCATACTCTAATCCTCATAGTCATTAATCACCATAATCCTAGCCTGAAAACTATACAGAAAATCCAGAAGTTTTTGGTGTACGAAGCATTCTCTGGAAAGGACAGACCTCATATGTATATCCCATATTACAAAAAAAAAAAAAAACAGTTTTATTGAAGTTGTATTTCAGCAATTGTTTAGACACACTTCTAGTATGAGACATTTAGCTATTCCTTAGTTACCATGGGAGTAATCCCTGTGGATAGGGACCAGGAGGAGAAAAATGGTCAAGACTTGTGTGTTTGCATTCCACAATGCTGCTCCTATAGCCGTTATATATCTGTGACCCAACAGTATGGTCAGATCTGGACTACTACTCTAACCCTATCTTTGGAAGGATTCTGCAAGATTTTAGGAGTAAAAGATGCTTGAATTTAAAAAAAAAATAAAAATAAAAAAAGGGGTTTTCTTGTACATTGGGGCCAAACTCCTGCAAAAAAAGGACAGAAGTTTGAGCCTTGGTTACTGCAAGGTGAATAACTGCTCATTGCTATATCAGTTTTTCAGAAATGTTTTAGCATCATTTATTCCGTAATTTACCAAAATGCAAAGTTAACTTAAGAGCCTATTCCTACGGGGGGCAATCAGTATATTTACTTAAGAGAGAATGTTCATCTGTCAAAATTTTAACTGGAGAACTGTACAGACTGATGAGAAATCTTTTATTGCAGAAAATAAAATTTGTGAAAAATTATACTTTATAATTCAGTATACACACACACATGTCTATGTATATGTACGCATCTGATTGTACCACTAGAGCAATTTGGTTTCTTTTCCAGGATGGGGAGAATTTGCATTTCCTTGACCCTATCTGTTTCACACAGCTTTTCATAAGAGCCTTTTTGGCCAAAGTTGAATGAGCTGCAGAAAGGTTATTTGATAATATATAATACTTTCAGAAGGGTCTAGGGCTGGAATATTAAAGGCATTCTCAGTATACCATTAATATTCCACCACTGCATTTGGCAACATTTTGATTCTGGAGAGAGTGCATGAGTTCAAGGTCAGAGAGATTGACTTGTGCTGTTCATTATAACCAATTATTGTGTGACAAATGAGTTTGAGATCAGGCTGAAAATTCTGTGAGAAAAATCAATAGTTCTAATCAGGGCCTTTCAGGTCATTTACCATCCTACCTTTTGTTACTTTGTCAGAAAAGAGCAAGATAAAACCTATGTGACAGTGGGTTGCCTCCATATTGTTACTTTCCATTTGAAACATATTTTGATATCTTGAATTATATTAATAGTTTAATTGGTTTTAGTAGCTTCTAAATGAGTTTCAATTTGTAAGACTTTTTTTTTTTTTTTTTAGCATTCTGATAAGATTTCTTAACTGCTATTATGACTTTTTTTTTTTTTTTGCCATTGAGGATGAAGTATTTCTGAGTCCCATATTTGAGCTGTTTGTCTCTACTGAATAGCAACTAAACCTCGCTAGCAGATCCGTGTCGCTCGCAGCCATTGCCCGGCGACAGGGATAATTTCAGAAGCTCGTTAGAGTTGCGCCAATGTGACAGCTTCAGAAACACCAACTTAGGGTTATTTTGCGTCGGCTCTGCATTGGCCAAGAGTTTGACAACTGCATTTGTGTTCTCCTTCTGTAGTACCCGGACGAGGATGAGGAGACGCGGTTGTACCGCCTGAAGATCGAGGAGCAGAAGCGTCTGAGGGAGGAGATCCTGAAGCAGAAGGAGCTGCGGCGGCAGCAGCAGGCGGGTGCCGGGAAATGCTCGAGCGCCTCGCGCAGCAGCAGCAGCAGCCGCCGGCGCAGCCGCCCTACGGGCAGCAGGAGGAGGAGGCCTGCGACTTCCCTGCCAACGGCAGCCCCTACGTTCCCCACTCGGGCCTACAGGCCAGGCCCAACGTCAAAAACAGACTGCTGGTTAAAAAGCAGGATATGGTAGTTCCGCACAGCTTCCAGCAACCCAAGCCCCCCGATTTCCCCCAGGTTGGCGCAAATATGCACTACCAAGGACACCACATGAAGCCGGTGAAGCAGCTGAGGCAGACGAGGACGATACCTCCGAGTCAGCCTCAGGCATCACCCAAGGTCCTGCAGCCCAAGCCCGCGGCCGCCGCGCTGCCCACGGCGCAGGCCCCAAGAGTGGCCCCGGTCCCGGCCCGGCCCCAGGAGCTGAAACCCGGCGTGAAAAGGACTGTGATGCAGCGCGCGAACAGCGCGGCCGGAGACGGGCCCCACGTCGGCAGCAAGGTCAGGGTGATTAAGTTGTCAGGAGGGGTAAGTTTGCAAGGCTCTGCTCGTGCGTGCGTGCTGGCGTGGGGTGCTCTGCTGTGGGCCAGTCCCTGTAACCTCAAAATAACAAACTGGCTGGAGCAGAAAAGGGAACTAGCAGGTTTAGCAGGCCTAATAATCTGTGTTTTTGGAACTGCAAGTTAGTAGCAGTTACTCAGAAATGAAGGTTTGCTGTGAATGCTTTACTGCCAGGCCGTTACCGCTAAAACCACAGAGCCCTCTGAAGTCGTGCTCCCTTCACCTAAGTCCCTGACATCTAAAAGTCTCCTCAGCTGAGATCTTTTTGCATCAGGTTGATGCATCTGATAATGTCTGGGGGGAGAGGCTTGTCTGGGGCTGTTCTTAAGGTTCAGGTAAAAAGCTGGGCTCTGCTTGTCCAATGGTGGAAGTTACAGCATCTCTTTGCGTGCAGGTGCCGGCGTTGGTGTGTGCTCTGAGGCTGTGCTCAGGGGAAGATTGTTTTTATTTTCCTACAAATTGTGTTGCAAAATGAATTTAAGCAGTATATTGTTGGGGGATGTTTTCTGTTAGCCTGTGTTGAAAATGCTACCATTTCCCTTCTGCATCTAAATGAGATTTCCTTATCTGTCTATGAGGGGTCTGTTATCAGCAGAGGGTCCCCTGAGCACTGGTGTTGTAGAGGCCTCTCAATGCTGGTTCTGGTGGCAGCGTGCGTGTATAAGACCTGGCTTTTTTAGTTAGAAAATACTGGATTTCTTCTGTCATCGTGAAGAGACAAGTTAATTTGTTGGGGCTCTGAAGAAGCTGAGATGCGGGGGCCTGGTAAGATGATGTTGCTAGTGTGGAATCTGTCCTAGGGCTTGTGCAGGGCAAAAGGAAGGATGTGGTGTGATGAAATGCTGGGATGTACATGGGGCCTGGGGTCCTGGAAGACACTTCCTCAACTCTTATATGAATTAGGGAAACTTGGAGAACTGCTGCCAAGTTGTGACAAAGTGAATGTAGGAGATTGTTAGCAGGAGTTGAGCAAGGCCCTCGAGTTGAGCAAGCAGGGAGCAAATTGAAATGGTAAAGTCAACTACTACTTATAAGCATTTTTTTCTACAGCTCTTAAAATTTAAATAAACTTTCAATTGTGAACTGCGTAATGACCATTTGGTCTTTCACAATATTAACATAAAGGATCTTGTTGACTAAATAGAGCTGACAACCTGAGTTGGAAGGTATCTGATTCCTCAGGCACGGTGACTTAAGTGCAGAATAAGAGAGAAGTATAAGAAGTTGAAAGAAATTATTTCTGCTGGATTGAAAAAAAAATTATAAACGTGATTGCAGGAATCACAGTGGCTGGCAAGAGGTGTTGGCTGGTTTGTTATTCATGAGGAATTGAATAAAGCACTTGGAAACGACTTGTTTTCTAATGTAATAAAGCAAAATGGTGCCAGTGGCCACTAGAGTTTTTCATAGCAAATAATTATCAGTGCCCAACTGGCATTAAAAATATATATATATATGTGTGTGTGTGTGTGTATATACATATATATGTGCTATATATGGCAGATAATATCACATATTATAATGTATATAGGCCATAATCTCTGAAGATTCATGTTTATTTTATTATGGAAAAGTCTGAGATTTGCCTGGCTTGGTAAATCCTAAGATCTGGGGAAGAAAAGACACAATGAGAATGGTGTTGGGAAGAAACACTCTAATAAATCATTAGTAAACTTGATCATAACAATGATAGAAAATTTGGATGATTAGACTATAGAAATAATTAGTTCTGTCTTTGAAGGGAGAATTAATTGTATATCATTCCTGACAGATGCCCAACCTTTTCCTTAGATCTCATTAATGAACTTTCCTTTGGTCATCCACTGCAGTGCCTAAATATTCGTGTATTTGAGAGGTTTCTCTCAGTGATGAAACTATTGTTTCTGGCAGCGATTAGATGCTGTGACTGTGTTGTGCCTCACAAGATGTGGGAAAGGACTTAGTTCCCTCTTGAGGCTCTGTCATTTGAAAGGTTTGTTAACTGTGTGCAGTCATATCCTCCAACCTCTTTTGGTGGGCGATGGTTTCTAACCCCTTCAATGTTCGTGGTCTGTTTGGGCTCCCTGCTATCACTCTGTTGGCAAATAGTTACCGTACCGAGGGCAGGTGAATTCTGAAGCCAGTATATTGGAGGTGGTGTTAGTCCTGGAAGAACAGGCTCGTACTGAATGCAGCTCCGAGTATCTTAAGAGGAAATATGAAATGTTCTGTATTTGTTTTTCATCTGATCGGAGGTTATGTGCGAAATGATAATATCTTAAAATCCTCTGTATCATTCAGCTGTCTTATAGTGTTATTGGGTGATTTCTCCCTAGCCAGAAACTGCTCTGCCATGCTCAGAGTGGTAGATGTCTGTCCCAGGGGCCTGGAAATGCTGCTTCTAATGCTGCGCCAAGAACACGCTGCTCAGCGTCTGTGGAGAGCTGCACAGTGAGCTTTTTCAGATATACATCAAGTTAATTACAGTGCACCACACTGGATTAAAAGCAACCTCTTAGTAGTGGTCGTAACTTACGAAAACTTAAGATGCTTCACCTGAAAAAGCTTTAAGGAAGAATTGACAAATTGTTTTACCTGGACAACCTGTCACCAACGCGAAAAAATATGGCCTTGGATTGAAAAAGAAAGAATTGGAATGAAAGATAGACATTTGTATTCAGAGTAACTGCAAAGTGAGAGGGGTGAATATGGCGTTCAAAATATGGAAAAAATATATTGCTGTAGATGGTTCTTGCTTGCCAATGTAACATTCTCCACCAGCCTCATTTGATATTTGTACTTGGTGTCACTCACATGTGTATGTTCAAATTTAATTAAAAATATTTGACTTGAAAGCTTTATAGCGCCTTTCATCCCAATAAGTCAAGAATTACGAACATGAAGATTTTTAGTGTTTGCATGAGGAGTTCTCGAGGGAGCTCCTCTCCCGCCTCCAAACTGCTGCCAGCCCCTAGGAGCAGAGCAGAGGCGACGCTCCCAGCAGCAGCAGGATGGCCTCGCAGCTGCTTCGTGTGCCACCACTGGAAGGAGTGACAGGTACAGAAAATGTCCGTGTTTTATGAGAAGCAGATTGAAAGACATCAGAAGCCATTATATCATAATGCCCCCGTATCACGTTTGTCATTTATAGAGTATCAAAAGGGGCAAGACCTTAGGAGCAGTATTAGTTTGAATGCTACAGGAAAAAGGACTCTGCCTGACATCATCTGTGAGATTTCACTCTAGAAATACTTTGCAAATGGATGTGGATTTCCTTCCATCCTCCTCAGAAAAAAAAATACATATATAAAATCCTCAGGGAGACCTGTGATATTCCTGTTAGGAAAAAGACATGCTATGCCCCAAATATCTAAGGAAAAAGTAACAAACCCTTTTTTCTTGAACCTCCAATGCGGATAGTTCCTGTAGCAAGACAATATTTTGTTATTTAAAGTACATCTTTGGTAGAGGCAGGTAGTGCTATCTGGGACACATTCAGTGCAAGAGTAGCATAAGGGCATGCTGAACAAGTAGAAGTACTTAAGGTGAGAACAGGACCAGACGTTGATAAGGTTTTTATGGCTTGCAATAAAATCCTCTAAAGGGAGGAGACATAGCTACCTAAATTGAATTTAGCTTTCATGTGGATAACTTAGAAACAAGTGAAATAAAGTATTTCCCATTACAGACTGGAGAACAGGTTTCTCCTTTTCCTCAAGAGACTGTTAAATTGTGTATTGCCTCCTCCTGCATACCCTGAAAGCAGGCGTTTGGTATTGCTTATCACTCCTGCTGCATCTCAAAGGAGTTTCTCTTCCCTGCTAAGCTGTAGTGCAGAATGTGTGGTGATGTGATTTTGGTGTTAAGCGCTAGCTGGTAACCCAGTTTCTTGATGGGAAATGGCTAAAGGCAACTGTAACAGCATTAAAAAAGTGTATAACAAAGTGAGAATTAGCTGAATTTAATTACTGAATTGGGGAAAAATGCAGATTTCTGATCTAAATTTAATATTTCCAAGAGTTACAAATGCCTTTGAGTGGCATTTTTAGCTGAACTATTTAGAACAGGCCTCCAATAGGGAGATGGTTGTGAGTTCAGAGCAGTTCGGCACTAAGTGGCGGGAGGTGGAGGTGGCGCAGGCTGTGTCTTGTTGCTAGCAGTGTTAGCAAGAAGTGCACAAGAAGTGTTGGACAACACAGCAGAAGTATTCAGCTGGGCCGTTAGTTTTAAGGGAATATGAACTGGAAAAACTAGAGTGATACAGAAGATAGGGAGGCTCCAGTTGTCCTGATCTCAGTCTGTCATGTCTGTAACCAGCAGTCAGCAAATGCATAACCAGTTTTCCTGTTGAGCACAATTTAAAGTACGAGGTTTTGATTCTGGTTTCCATCCTAATTTAAAGTAGGTGAAATTTCCTCATTTTTTAGGCGGGCATGGCTGATACCACTACATTACCACCATAGCAGCAGTGTTCATCTAAAAATATAGAAAGGAGATTATTGTCAAGTAGCAACTTAGTCTTGTATGTCAGAGACTGCATAGACTTTGAGCCTGCCTCAGTGCTGCCTAACTTATGTTTCTGAATGGAAGAAAATGAGAAACAGGTGGGTTTTTACTTAGTATTTTCGGATACAATGACAGAACTTGCAGGTTTTGAGTTGTTTTTCATCTGGCATAATGACAGTCAGCTGAAGTCAGAAGTCTTGAGAATGACACGTGGGTAGCCTATGCAGGTTTTCTCCAAGGTGCCTGGTACCCAGCTGGAAGGTGCTCCCGGGAGCTTTGGACAGTTAGGGATCAGTGATGTTTTCAAACAGGAATCTTTTCTCATGGCAATTTCTCTGCATCCGTTGTCTGCATGTTCGTAATTCACTGGGATTCTCTGTACGAGAACTGTGCTGGATACTGACAACTGAACTTTGCTCCAAGTCATATTTTTGACATCTATATTAGGGCGATGTCCTTTGTGGAAAAGATTGTGCAAGAAT